TGGGGACTGCGTGATCCTCACTGTGCCTGGTTGGAGACACTACAAGATATGGCTGCCAACGGATGTCAGTGGCGTTCTTGTTGTCAGTTTCTATCCAGATTGCCTGAGTGAATGTCTGGAGGTGTAGGCACCTCGGAATGATTGTGTTAAGCTAGCACTAAGTCCCTTCCCCGTCCACCTTTACTCTTTACAATAAGGCTTTCAAATAAGTCATGGTTGTACAGCTGAGAAGCATCGGTGTTGAACACTGACGTCATGCTGTCGATGATGATGATGATGTATCGGAGTTTCTGCTATTTCTTACTGCATTTTAAAATGTGATAATTTGACAGATTGCCTGCTGACTTGCAACGAACTAAGTGGCTTCCAACTAAAAATAGACGATTTGTACTGGTGGTTTTTTCGTAAGTGTTTCCTAACGATCCCGATCTCATTTGTACATAACTGTGTGGGGTTTGGGACCTCAAAACAGTTTATGAGGCGTAAAACACGACACATGTGCCTGCTAAAGTACGCGATAAACACAGTATTGCCTTATCAGACTAAATCTTGATTTGATCATCTGAACTGTCACTAAATCTACCCGTTCGTTCATTTTCGCATGTCGCGCAGTATTTATTTAATTTTCCTGTGCACATCCCCGGACAAAGGAAGCGAATGTTAATGGGGGATATTTTCACAAGCTAACTTGTCGGTCAGTTCGAGGCTGTGGTGCTTATTCTGTAGTAAGGTATGGTCGCCTCACTTCAGCGATCTTAATACAGTGAAGCGGTATGCCTTCAATGCTAGTGAGTTTAACCTGTTTACGTTTTTTAATGGCGTGCCACTGGTTCGACTTGAGTTACAGCTTGCATCGTACTCGCATTTGGTCACTGTTGCAAGGATGAATTTTGTATGGATTTAATGTCATTACTGTTTTCCAGCGGAAGGCTTCGTACTTTCTGGACATGTACCACTGCTAGATGGTCCAAGTGGGTTGAGCATTCTCTTTAATCAGTTCTTTGTAGGCTTTCAATCTTCTGACTTTGTCCCACTTGGCGCCACGTCTGAAGCCATTCCAAAAGTGTCCACTTCCGCCCCATCTTTTGCCGAGGTAAGTGTTACTTTTTTTGTCTTTGCACAACACGAACTAGTAATCACATTAGCCAAATTTTATTCACATCTATGCACGCAACCGTCTTCTCTTTTCGCATTTTACGACACATTCTGTGTTGACCAAATAGTTCAGCTGTAGCACATTTTCTGTCCTTGTAAGGTCTTCCGTTGCGGCATAGCTTTTCAGGTTTTACTACCCCTCGATAGGTCAGCATTAACGCACTCAAACTTCCCGATTTTTTAGCGCATTGTACAATAGTGCCGCCGGCCAGTCAAGACCTTCAATCTTTCTTTTGGATCTCCCAACGGGATTTACTCATTTCAAATGCTTCCTCTAATTTTTGTGGCAGAAAATCACGCAGATATACAGTGGAACTGTTTTAGGGCGAACATTCATCCTTAATAACCGTTTCTCATGGGTCCATCAGGTTACTATCGAATGAGTCGAATGTCTCTGTGGTAGCGGCGCCGAGGATACATTTGTGGTCAGATCTTCCTTACGGTGACCAACTACTCCGATAATTCACCCTAATTAGAGCGTGCATATGAGGGTTTTCGTAGTGCACTGATAGACAAGTGCTGAATCGTACCACCGTCTACAGGGTCCACTTCCCAAGGGTGACCTTTTTGACTGCTTCCGTCAGTGATAGCTGTAGATGAGACCCCTTGCATTATTGATAGTTGATTTTCTTACTGCGCTTTATTCGAGTTAAAGACTAGGTAGACTGTATACAAGTACTTGCTTTTCTTGCGCAGGTGAGCAAAATGGGAGCCTTATCTGTTGTCGACCAAAACCGCGTGGCGAATTTCGCACGTGGTCCTCTTGGCCGTCGGAGTATCCCTTATTTCGATCCAAGTAGTGAAGCTTGGCCATCGCTATCGGACGTCAGGAAACGTACTGCTGGTCAGGCCCCATTGCAATGTTGTGCTACTTCGGTTTCGCCGTGGGGTCTTTCATTAAACGCTCCTGTTCCAATAAGCTCCCCAACCAACGCGGAGAAGCAAGACACCGCAGCCAAGTCGAATCATAAAAAGCACAGACGACGGCGCAATCGAACTTATTCTCTTCATGACTCCTCGGTTTGTGAGTAGTGACAGACGGTGATCCGCTGTGCCCCAACAATTGGAACATGATATGAATTTTTCAGTGTCTCTGAACCCAACACTATTCCCATTATTGTACGCGTTTCCCTTTTATTCTATTTTCTCCAGGTTGTCGAAGGTAGTTGTGTTTCATGGTGGCCAGGACGATGACCCGTTTTGAATCGAATTTGCTTCGGTGTATGAACTATAAACTGTAGTTTGACAGTGTTAGTTGATGCCTAGTGTGGGATGTAGTCATGCTTCGAAGATTATAGAATCTTAGGCCTCGGATCGCTGCCGAGTTCGCTTTCGTTTCTTAATGTTTTGCATCTCTAGCGGTTGATTCTAGTCTTGTCTAGGTCTGACTTTTCGTAGTCTGATTCAAGCATATGCGTGGTTGAGCGGGATATCTATGTAAGGCGGATGGTTTCCAAAGTATGAGGAAGGAAGTTTAGATAGGCCATTAATCGAAAAATCCGAAGTGTACTGTCTAGGATGATTTGTTTAAGTGAAAGACAATCTGTCAGTCATACTGGTCTCCATTGTAATTGGCTTTAGATTGGAAATCCATTTTTGAATGACTGGATCTCGAAACCTACAGGGTTTATTTGTGACTCAGTGACCAGGTTTTGGGCAGTAGCTGATACCCTTTCATCAGTCATTTTTGTTCCATGTTAACCCGCCTCTTTGGATTCATACACTGGACCATTTCTGGGTACAGTGATGCTTATGCCTCTAGTAATGACTTGTCACCTTCCTTTGTGCCATACGGGTATTTTGACTCTCCCGTGATCTGATTTCTTATCTGTGAGGACTGTCACCTGTTACGTCCACGTTGTACTCTGATGATTTAGGTGTTGGCATCCGGTATATACTGCATCACGTGAATTAGGTAGAACGGGTGCAGCTTGTGGTTAGGTTTTCTCCGGTTGAGTATAGTTGTTTTCTTCACTCTTGACGTGAACGCTAAGTCCGACATTGTCTAAAGGTAGTTACTCATTTTTTACCCGATTGGATATTCTCTCTAGAGCTGACCGGAACATCTATCTCAGTCAACGTGTGTCTTGTTGGTTGCATCCTTGGATGACTGAGTGCATACCTGTACGGTTTCATACTAATTGACCCGACCTCAGCTGTACGGACCGCTTTTTGAGAGAGAATGTTCCTCAATGACGGGCTGCTAGTTCGTGTACGTTTTGGGTGGGTCATTCTGATTCAGCTGGCTGGCGAACCGAATAATTCTGCAGACAGTGGGAAGTTGAGCATTCTTCGCAATCTGTGCAGAAAAGTCTACTGATACAGATGTACCATAGGATGGTTTTTCACATCCTACGGACTAGCAGTATATCGTCCTAAACTGAAGCTTGAAGAATAAACAGCCACTCATGTGCAACCAAGCGAAAGGCCAGGCAGTCCGCGCACTTTGCGTTATGATTGACAGATACAGGCACCGCGTAAAACGAAGCCTTCGTCTAAGGTCTTCCAACAGCGAAAAAACAGCTATGTTGACGCACGGCGTGCGTCTACGAATGTGAATGAGCAATAACAAGGTTTCCGAGATTCTCATTGATAGGGGGAAAACACGCCTACCGATTTTCATATTTCGCCTTTTCTTTGTCTAAGCTTGCCCTGATCTGCTTCGCCAATAGTTTCCGCACGTGCGCATCGCCTCTACTTGTGCTCACTCCGAGTAGGAGTGAAAACTGAAGCAGATTGAATTATGGAAGGCGTGGCATTCGCAGATTCCTGTTAGTCCTGCACGCTTGTCGCCCCAACTCTGACTCGCGCCGCATCGAATATATAGGTATTTGTGTCGTCTGGTCGTCAAGTTCGCGCCACCTGCTCCATAATTTTTACTCTATTTCAGAGGCGCTGTTTTGTAATTAGAACAATGCACAACACATGGTATACCCGGAGTGGAGGGTTACTTATCGGATTTGTCATGTCTGATCACAATGGCGGTGGTAGGGTAAATTGTTTCGTAATCCACCGTGTATTCATATTGGAAATTGCTTGCCCCAGTGCACGGTACGTCAGCAACTAATGGACACACCTTCACAGAGAACAGGTCTGATTTTAGCAGAAGTGCTCAAGTTCTGACAAACTGGAAGATATCGTGCAAACTGTGTTGTGCCGGTACAGTGCCTGTTGGTGTCATGAGCTCACTAGCGAGATGATCCACATAGTACCGAAATGGGTTTTATCAGACACCCAAACGGAAAACATGATTTATCCACATCAGTGAATCCGATTTTCAGGCGTCCAGTTGTTTGACTACCTTCGAACAGCAAGTCTGATTCAGATACTAGCCGTCCATGTAGTTTACACCGTATGGTTTCGCCGTTGCGGCGTTGAATGAGGCAATGATGGCTGAACGGGTAAAAAGGAACTGAAGGTGGAGTCAGAATTATCCTCTGGTAAACAGGAATACGGAGTTGGACTTGCAGTATCTGGATACTGGTTTGCTAGGATCGTCGATGAACTGAAATCCACTAGCACAAGTATGGTGGCGATTCGAACTCAGTTCATAAGAGTCGTCAGTGAAAAGCAATGGTGTCGCATTCCAAAGTGGAAAAACGAGTCCTACACCTTGGCATCGACAATACTACCGATCAATAGTAGTAACCGATGGCCTTTCTCTTGCCAAAAACTCCGATTCTCCAGTTCGTCGAGATTCGGAAATCTAAAGTTATTACGGCCCTGGTAAATTTAATCGTTGAACTTTGAAGACCAAAGTTATCTACCTGTGTGAAAGTCTGGAATCGACCGTTAAAGCCTGGTCTCACGTTGGGAAACCTTCACTAGCTGCAAGGATTCACCCGAGGAGTGGACACATCTTACTGGCCATGTAATTGTCCGAAAAAAACCGGGGAGTTTTTACCAATGTGGTGTTGGCTTCAACGCAACTAATTGACACGGGTTCGGTTGCGTATCACTGTGCCGTTGTGAAGCTAGATATCGGGAAACTGAAAGACTTAGCAATTCAGGCAAAATTCTACAACCCGTTGCGTAATGAACTCCGAACCAACGCTAATGGGTTCAGTCGGCGACCAGTGAAGTGTACTCAAAGAACACGCTTAATTTGCGCTGGATCCTACAAGAAATAAAAACAGCGCAAAACGGTCGGTTTGATGAAAGTAACACTGACACTGTCGACGATTGAGCAAGGGAATTCAACTTCCATTAGAGTATTTAAGAACCAGTGGAAGATGAACTCTGAACCACCATAAGATTAACTACTCGAGCAGATTTATTAGGCTTGTCAAGGTTTTCCACTCTGGATTGACGGCCCATGTTTAATCTCGTGGAGTGACGCCTTCAGACTTCAACTTTGACATGCGATTGTTTTGTGTTGGGCAAAATGTGTTTTATGATGACTTGCAAGGGATTAGACGGATGACATCAGTAACTCATGCCAGCATCATGGACCACAGTACATCAGTGGTGGAAACTGGTTGTCATACAACAGTGGAGGAAGAAGGCCTTAGTAGAAGATGAAGTAAAAAGCTTCTAAAAGGATATGTATACAGGAAAAATGGCCAAGAATGGGGTGCTTTTACCTCCAAAAACCACTGGAAGAACGTCATGATGGGACAAGGTGTCATCAGCGGAATTGAGCAAACGCTCTTTCCAAACCTCAAGCGATACAACCCCAGCGCATGGCAAACAAGTATTAGTTAGGTAGCTCGGCGGTGAGGTGGCAGTTTCGCCATCTAGGATCGGTTATGCGCACTGTTCGGCAGGGTTTCTAACCACGAGCAACTCCATCCAAGAAAGTGGGTTGGGGATAATACTTCGTAAACATGACTTTGGCCCATGGAAATTGTTGCAATACAGAACCAAAATATTGCCTAATGGAGCTCCACCATGCGAATCGGTGTTGTTATCTGCCTACCACCTAGAATGCCTGTGTGGACTTAATGCTGCTTCAGATAGTGAAGTTACAAAGAGATTACGCACAAGTTTGGGCCAATACAAGATTTTCTGGTGTCATTGCGGTCAATGTCTGCAAACTGCAGTTTTTCCTAACTACCAGGTTGGTGGCCTTCGTGGAAGATTAGGGGGAGGTCTCTGTAAGAGATGTTTCTCATACTTCAGGTGCCATAAAAGAGGGTTACAATAATAATGCATCAGCTTTCCCCTACCTCACGACAGATAGTCCCTCAACTAAGGTTGACTGTTCACTGTGAATGTTCTCTTATTGATGGAATCACTGTGTAGAAATGCATTGGCTGTGAATCAGACGAAGCCGGATAAAAATTTACCTAGTGATATTTCTTCGGGAAGATTCTGTCATTAGACAAAACAGGGGAGATTTAAAAACGAGCATTGCCGAAGTTGAAGCATCAAGGTTGATGGCATAATTGCAACAAGAGTAGTGTTCCCCTCAAAGTAATGGAATGGTTAACCTAGGTGAGTCTTTATTCACCCGGTGTGACATGCTTTATTTCTTGTTTGCCGAATGACGCACGTGGGATACCATGTCACACTGGTTGCCACTCATCTGAGCGGTACTTACGTAGGTCTACCGCACTTAGCAAAAAACGTTATCAGTAGATATTCAACAAAACCGCAGTATGTATTTGCTTGGTTTCGCTCCCTATCCTGTACGGCAGGCTGCAGTACTCTATCTTGTGACTTATGCTCAAGCCTCGTGAATTCCACTTGATTGAGAATCTACCTCGGAAGTGACAGTTTGCAGTTCGCGCAACATATGGAGTAAATACCTTAACCAGGTTGAATGACTAGCTCTAACAAAGTGAAGCTATATTACACTTTCGAGCAACACATGAACTCATAAAGAGTGCATCTGGTTCTCATTGGATTTGAACAGGTGGTGTGTGCTCACTGAATCATATGAACTGGCAAATCGATAGGGCTGTAGCTTGAAGCACATAAATTCACGTGATCTGGTGCGATCCGCCATTCGGCGTACTTTGTCGCCCGTTCAGAAAGTGGACACGCTGTACTTAATACGGAGTTGAAAAGCTACGCTACTCATACACTGAAGTAGGTAGAACGAGCTATAAAAATACGATTACCTATCGATGGAGCTTTTCCGGTAGGCTGGATACGTTGGTCCCCCGAATGAAGATCTCCAACGGACCCGAACATTATGAAGTCTTCTGTAAAGGAGATCCCTAATGGGAGGGAATGTCCGGCTGGCTAGTTTGTGACAAACGACTGTCCGTTGTGCCGATTACCTTATTTCTGGAGGGTATTCGTGTTCCACAAATGGAGGAAGGGCTTCCTCTATATTCGATCCTTAGTCGTCGTAGGTAATACACCCTGATGTGTTTTCCCTTCGCATATCGCTAATAGCAATAACGTTGCTTCCTTAGTGACCCAACAGTCTGACGAATTTTCGTTTACATAGCAGTCTGTTATCCGCGTTGAAGTAATTTAGCACAAATGACGGTCAGCCTGCAAGGGCGTAACCACAGCATACTAGCTCCTTGCGTTGCTTTCAGGAACGAAAGGAAGGCATACTCTGACAGAAAATCTGGGGGATTATTTTCTGACTAATCTAACCACTTGATGTGGTACCTCAGCTGTTTATTAAGCTCTCGAAAGTTAGTCTCTACAGGATTTTATTAGTTGTCATCGTCATCATCGTCATTGACAGCGTGACATCAGTGTTCAACACCGATGCTTCACTGCCGTACAACCATGACTTATTTGAAAGCCTTATTGTGAAGAAAAGAATAAAGGTGGAAGGGGGAGGGACTTAGTGCTAGCTTAACACAATCATTCCGAGGTGCCTACACCTCCAGACATTCACTCAGGCAATCTGGATAGAAACTGACAACAAGAACGCCACTGACATCGGTTGGCAGCCATATCTTGTAGTGTCTCCAACCAGGCACAGTGAGGATCACGCGGTCCCCATCCTGGAAGGCCAGTAGCACCGACAGCACCCAAGCGCTTCGTGATCTCCTTCATACTCCTCTGCCAAGTCAAGGGTTGGCCACCTCTCTGTTTACGCCACTCCGAATTGCGCATGGAAACCAGCACTCTCTTCGGCAAACGATGGTTCGGCATACGTAACACATGTCCCAACCAACGCAGCTTCTGGTGCTGGACACATTCTTCAATGGAAGTACCCGTTACACAACCGAAAACGCTTTCTAACTGCCTCGTTACGGATTCGCCGACACCAACCCACGCGAGCTATGGTTCTGAGACAACGATTGTTAGTTGTTATTAGTTGAAGAACACCCCGCAAAAACATTACCCTCACTGCATTCAGTCCACCAACTTGAAGTATGCTTTTGAAAAAAACCTGACTGTACATGTCGCTACAAGGCAGTGAAGCACGAGCTACCTGGTTGCGATTGAAGTGCGCGGGGTGACGTTACCGGTACCTACTATGTTTTGAAACCACACAACCAGTGGGCCGTCTGCCTATCTCGTTGCCAAGTTCATAAATCGACAACACCATTTCGCGACAGGGGTAACCGTTCATGATGCTTGAGTGGCTGAGGAGCGAACTTATTGACCGGAAGGTCCATGGTTCTAACCCAATCTCTGCATTTCGGCTGCTCCTGTCCAGGCTTGGGTAGCATGCCTGTACCTAAGCACTTATGGTTCTTTCATGTGGCACCGCAGTTATGCACCGAAATGTTGTTGCAGCTGAGCGATCATTTATGTTATTATTAATTATTCGGGGTGAATATAATGACTTGCCATACTTCTGTATGGTAGGAGCCGACTGTTCTATTTGCCTTCTCTGACTTGAGAAGGGCATATTGTATGTGTTCGGGGGTATTCGCTGTCGAAAAGTTTGTTGGAACACGACACAATACGGGTCCTTATTCAATAAAACCACTCCATCGATGGACTCCTTAGGTTTAACGGCGAGCATTACAGGTACGAAACGTGGGTGAAACTTAGATTTCTTTGTTTGAAGTTTATGAACAGATTTCCAGAGGATCGTCCAACGCGCAGTGCCCCTTCAGTGTAACGACTCTCACCCAGGCAGTCGTTTGAGTTACCTAACTGAACACGAAGGGCAGACCGCTCGTCCTTTGTGAATACGAATGCAGTAAACGAGAGATTCAGTTGAGTCTCTCGTGAAAACCAAATTGATTTGCGAATGAGTGTATTTCTCGAAAACAATCGAATTTGGGTTCAAGTAGAACATAATGTTGACGGAAACTCGGGGACTGCGTTTACCTGATGAGCTCCAAGAAGGGCGAAACCGCAGGTGGGCTGTCGAAGAGTTTTCAGCTACCTTGTGAGTAGTTTCCTTACGAGTGGGCCTACCTCACTTTTGAACCTAAGGTACATAAATGATATGAGTCATGGTACTGCAGCAAGTATGCCATGTGAGTAGCAAATGTCCTTCAGGCTTACCATATTCAGTAAAGCAAAATACATTGAATTCATTCTGTTCGGTTGCTCGTTGGATGAAATAACTGCTTTCAGACAAATTGTTTTCCGAATGTTACTCTTGTTCTAGGCCTTTGGCAGGATTATGATCGTGTTTTCCAATTTGAAGCCCTTCACTTCCTTTGTACGTTCCCTCCTTGAGTTTTTAATAAGGGAGAAAGATGAGATCGACTTTACTGACAAGCATCGTCTTCGCTTGATATGGGGATTCAGATATCCTGCGGTTCTCCTTTTGGAAAATTAATTGCCTCCAACCAGGCGTCAAAGTCCCGATGCAACTATACAATGGTCTCTCGGAGGATCCAACTGTAAAGCTAATAGCTATTCTTAACTGTAGTCCTTTTAAATGAAAACCACAGTACACTGTTCCCTTCTGGGGAGACTATGACAATGAACCGGTCTAAAGTGTTCTTTTTTTGAGAGCGTCTACCAATAATTTGTGCTTTAGGCGATGAAATAGAGAGGGCGTGTCTGGTGTTCTCCCCTGAAGAGTGTTTCCAGAAATAAGCGACTGCACTTGAGAGAAGCTCATAGATCACTGAAGTCTATAACTGCCAAACGCAGGCGAGTTACCTGGAATACACAATGTGCCACACACGTGAGGTCTTTCTGAATTCCACAGCAGCTTACTTTTAGGCGAAATTTGGGAAAATTGGTCCTCTAGGAGAGGAAAAATTCTACGCGAATAACCTCCAGATAAACTAATGCTAGTAAAGGCTAACATTGTGACGTCTTTCCGGAACTAAGGTATGCTTAACAGATACTCATATCTGCACACGAATTTGGTTTTGACAGGAAACAGGGATGGGTCCGGTTGAACCGCTCATTTATGGTAGCTGAAGAGTTTTCAGCAACCTTATGAGTAGCGTGTCACATCTGAACAACAAGATAGGATCAACTTTGGTCAGTGATTGGGGGCATCCTTGGTCGAGTTTGTTGTACAATCACCCCCTGGAGAGACCAGTTTGAGCATCCAACTACTAGCTGTCACCCCTTGGAGTAGGTTTCCTACGAACCAACTAAATTTAGTCTTCTGACGGGTAGCCTGTTCAGAATGGCGCCATTTTAAGTTCAGAACCATGACTACGACTTATGGAAACCGGCGTTACAGGATTGCAAACTGAAATATAGTTTGATGTTGTCACATTATGCACAACATTCGTTACCTGTCAGCAACATACCGGGGGACTGGCGCATCTCCAAGAAGCCTTCCTTTCTGGAAAAACCGTCCTCAACAGGGCACTTTCAGCTGATTTCTCGGAGCTTTTCCAACACTGGCGTGTCACAATATGAATCCCTCTTCTCCTGTCTGTAATTATATAGCATCGAAACAGTATCTGGCAGTTCTAAAAGCGGTCTTCGCATAGTTTGATTGGCCTCCTGTGAATCTGACGTGGCCTCAACCTCTTGAGTCTGCTTGGTTCGTTGGCTGCATTCAATTCGGCAGTTCTGTGTGTGGTTGTTCTCTTGTGATTCGGTCGTTTTCTTGCTTTGTGTTGTGAGTTTGTTCCTTTGACTGGTTGATTCAGCGGCCTTCTGTTTTTAGTGATTGTCTTCCTTTGATCCAATTAGTCGGTTGGTTGTCGTTAGGTTTATTGGCTCAAAGTCCCGTGACTGTGTGGTTCTTTTGCTCGTAACGGCTGATAGACTGGGTCAATGTCGTGTTTATTGATCGATTTTTGTGTGGAGTACCACGCCTCGGCAAATTCTCGCTCCCGTTTTTTTCTTGCGTGAGCAAGTATTTGAACATTGTCCCAATGGAACCTGTGTCCTTCTCTGTCTTCATGGATTGAGACAAGTGACATTGTCTTCTACTGGCAAGCTTGTGTTCGTGTATTCCTGTCCGGCCAACATAGTGTTTGTCGTAGTGGTTGCACTTACGTTTGTAGACCACGTTAGTCTTCTTCAATGCAACCAAGCTTCGCTTTGGTTTCGAGTGAGTTCTTCTCAAGCCAAGAAACCTAACGTCAACCAACCGACTAATTGGATCAAAGGAAGACAATCACTAAAAACAGAAGGCCGCTGAATCAACCAGTCAAAGGAACAAACTCACAACACAAAGCAAGAAAACGACCGAATCACAAGAGAACAACCACACACAGAACTGCCGAATTGAATGCAGCCAACGAACCAAGCAGACTCAAGAGGTTGAGGCCACGTCAGATTCACAGGAGGCCAATCAAACTATGCGAAGACCGCTTTTAGAACTACCAGATACTGGTTGAATGCTATATAACCACAGGCAGAAGAGGAGGAATTCACCCACTCAAACCTGCACTGACGATGTCACCTCGATTAGTGATCAAACGTTTGCAACCCAATTGCCAGGCTCGGCGAACAGACCAACAACCAAGCAGCGCACCCGAGCTACCTACATTCCACAACGTTGCCAGTGTCACAATATATTACAGAAAAATATTAGTTTTGGCCACTTCTTCAGGTAATCTCAGACACACGAATGACCAGACTCAGTTGGTTTCGCTGCATTCGGATTTCGAATGGGTTGTTCAAAGGCATTACGCACCGACATCGGGTGATGAACCAAATAACACTAGCTCGCTTAGGTTAATGGTGGCGAAATGCCGAGGTCTCATCTACCTCGCTTTTTATTACGCGTTCCCAAGGACACTCCGTTGAAGGACTTCTCGACAGTTGCGCTGAAAATCCGTATATTGGCGAGCAAAGTGATTTACTTGCTCTAATTTGCGGCAAGTTCCTCTTGCACTCACGTCAACAGGACTTAGGAGGCTGTATGAACAGACTCGGTTTTTCATTCAGTAGTCCTCCTGTTTTGAGGCGACGAAAGTATTAGCCGGATCACTTGAAAAGTGACAGTTTAAGCGTGCTTGGTTTGGCGACTTTGTCATCCCCAAACACGATATTTCTCCATCCTAGAAGGAACATTGTGGTAAACGGAAAATATGAAATTTTTCGATGCGTTCCTATCTGATGAGCAAGATGATCTGAACGGGCTATCGCAATTCATGTTCTGGAGTACTGTGGTTAGATTGGAAACACTGCGAGCACATCAAAAGTTTTCGGGACGGAAAAGGTGCGCAAACTGCAGTCTATCACCCCACATAACCAAAGGTTATTCCGCCAGTACCGTGTAACCACGGTAGTCTTTTTCAAGTAGAAGGTTGTCGGCAAAAATTCTATTTCCAACGTTTTAGAAAGCGAGAAATCGATAGGATTATGGACAAGCTGTGGCTCAAAAGTAAGCTTTCGGTGCCTTTCTAACGAATGCGCCCAAGCTTATACTAACAGATTTTCGGGCGGTGAGAACCTCAATTCGCTTTGCCGTAGATTTTATGGGGGAGCTCACTGCATTAAACCGTGTTCCTCAAGAGTGGACCGCCAAGCACTATGGCAGTGTCTGTGGAGCAAAGGTGTCCCCC